AATATAAACAGCTTACAAAGCAACGCAGTTAAGTGTAGTTACATACTTCCTATCTAGAGGTTCTAGCTACAGCGACGAAGAATAGAAAATAGGGTTTCAGCCCAAGCAGAAAGCCTAAGTAAGCGTTACCATGTACGCATAGGTATGTACAGCATACGCATACTCACTAGCAGGGTTACATGTAAAAATCCCTGTGATTATGTAGTGGGATCGGATCTACGGGCGGGCGCTGACATGGACATGGCCGGGGTATTGATTAACAAACCCCCCTCTACAGAGTACATCCTTTCTGCACTTTGGTACTCTACTATCTACGTAGGTACTTAATATCCTCCCGTGAAGCCACATGGTTGGGGTGCATATACGGCGGGTGCACTACCTTTTACATAAGATGGATCGGGGCCAAGCATATAACTATACTATACCCCGTTCATGCAAAGTTCCCATATTATCTAGGCAACATACCTAGCGTATGGTCAAACATGGGTTTCTATATAAAGGGTTAAACCCCGTGGTGGGCTCGTCTCGTGATGCAACTTGATCGTCTAGAATAAAGACGTCGTCGCCATGACCAAAATCACTATTCTCGGAGCCGGGTAAGCCTTAGCCTCTATCTTGGCTCTCGGCCAAGCACAAACTAAATGGTTACTAAAATCCTCACCATCTATTAGAATCACTGGCATGAGCATCGCCAGTCAGCTCCCAAAAGACTGTGATATCACTATCGTAGCCCGCGACCTGCCGGGTGACGAGCCCTCCCAGGGCTGGGCAAGTCCTTGGGCATGTGCCGGCTGGGTGGCACTCGGCGGCTCGCCCCTCGAGCAGCAGATGCAATTAGATGCTCTAAGCTTCTGTCGCCAGCTCGCTGTCTCGCATCCGGAGTCTAGCGTAAAAATCAATGAATTAACGGATGTATACGATCTTGGGGCAACTAGTGTCTCGGACCTCTGGTACCACGACCGCTTGCCGGACTATAAACCGCTTGATGCAGCTCAGTTTGTGCTGAAGGAGGAGAACATACAGCCTACGGTCGCAGTCCAGTATTCGAATTTTGTGGTTTCGCCGCCGGTATTCTTGCCCTGGCTTCGCAAACGGCTCGAAGAAGCGGGTGTTAAGTTCCAGCGCATACCCGCCGTCAAGTCGCTGGCCGACCTAGAGTATCTCGGTCATGACGTATTGGTCAATGCGTCCGGCCTCGCATCCGCGACGCTGGAGGACGTCAAGGACGGAAATATGATAACGGACCGGACATACGTGACCCTTGTCAAGTCCAAATACGATAAGTCATTTGTGCGGCGTTCGGCGACCGAGTACACGTACATCTTCGGCCGGTGTGACGGCACCACTATTCTCGGGGGCATTTCGGAGCCGGTCGCAAACGAAGTCCAGTCTTCAGCGACAATTAGGGCGGATGTGGGTAGCCTATTTTGCCCGCCAAATTTGACTTGCTAACATGATTATAGCTTGTTCGTCGGGCCAATGCCAACCTGCCTGACTATTTCCCCTCCGCAAGCCCAGACGACTATGAATTCGTGCAAGACCTAGTCGGTGTACGACCCCTGCGGCTCCCGACCGTACGTGTAGAGAAGGACATCATCGGCCGACAGAACGTCGTGCACGCCTATGGTACAACAGCTGGCGGTTACATCTACAGTTTTGGATTAGCGCGCGAGGCAGCGCGCTTAGTGAATGAATTTATATTCAGCTCTTAAGCAAGTTTGTGCACGTACCCAAGTTCTTTTCCGTCAATCCGGCTCATATGTACCTGATCTTGATTTATCACTGCCAAGACCTTGTTGGCAACCTGGGAATGGTTGCCTATTTGCATGTATGGGTGCATGTATGGGTCCGCGTAAGACTGAGTGAGTTGTGCGATGGTTATTGGAGGAGTACAGTGTCAGAGGGTCTCAGCCATCTGCAGGTAGGACCAACAGGATCAGGTTGTATAGGACTATAGTCTGTGGCCCTTGGGTATAAATAGGGCTGGTCGGTCCTGCCTGACAGGAAGCTTGGGAGCGTCTTTACATTCGGCTTGTAATTCCCTGAGGATAGCAATATGCACATTCAAAGCTAGCCAAGTTTTATATCAACCTCCTCCGGCAATGCTTGCTCCCAGATACGATCCCATATCACACCTAAAGCATTCCTACGTACGATATCGCCATCCCATCGAATCCACAGCACGAAATAGAAATCGAAATGGGTCTCCCCAATCAACTCTTTCCGTTCCGTACATAGTGTAAAGAGGTGGTTTAAGTGAACTGCGGGCGGGGCCGGCGTCTTATGCGACATGTCACCTGTCAGGGGTAACGAACCTTTAGCAATACAAATCACTTCGCACCTGTGCCCAATAGGAATGGGCTCCCTCGCACTCGCATGAACTCGAATGGACCCAGCCCACATGGAAGAAGTAGTATAGAGAGGAAGTTCAACCACATCATACGCGTCATTATCGGAGAGCTGAGCAGGTCGTCGAGATGCATCTTCCGGTGCTCCGAACACGAAAAAGGCCTTCCGGACGCTTGCATATAGATATAGCGACGACGACTCAACCGCATTGATATCACGGTATCGCTGGGTAGGCGGGAGAGGGTAGCGAAACTTCCTCGTGTAGCCCATGTGCTCGCGGGCGTGGTACGTGTAATACGACCTATGGCCCGAGCTGTGGTCACCGTCATGCTTTTCCCATCCTGGTGGTGGTGGAGCGGACTTCTCCAAGAAATGCTTACGTACAACAATGTAGCTATCGTCGATACGACTGTTACTTTGCCGACCCGGAGCTTTGAACCATTCCACGAGCGGGGAAATTGTCACCTCATCCGAGGCCGAAGGGAGCTCCGTGTCGGTGTTACAGGTCCACATTTGGAGATCCAGGGGCCCGGACCATCCGAGCCATGACCACGTAGGAAGAAAGCTTGCGCTAGGTTCCCGGAAGCGTGGTCGAAGACGATTTTTGGGTTGCCAGAGCAGGCAGATGGTAAAATAGAACTCTGGGACGCCACCAAAGAAACCAGCTGGGAAACCCTCGCACATTTGCGTCATGAGACCCATGAAGGCATTTGCGGCGTCTGATTCATAAGTGAGCTGTCGCAAATTGTACTGTTCGACCATGCCCGCATACTTCTTTAATGATGGCCAATCTATGACAAAGATTTTGTCACCGGGTAATTGAGTGTCCAGTTCTGCGGTCCCAGGCGGTGAGGCGTTTAATGGAGGTGCCAAGGCCTCAGACCATCGAGCGGAAGCACATATCCAATTGACGAACTTGTCAATGTAAACTAGCCTCCGTGAAAACACATGCTCTTGGAAGGTCCAGGCTCGACTAGACCATACCGTATTATCAGATGATATGCTATTTCCTAATGTCCACTTAGATCCTCTTATCAGAGGCTTAGAGGGGAAGGGTACGAGATGCTTTTGTCGCTCTCCAATGCCTTGACCGAACCCAGATAGGCCATGATTAGCATCACTACCATCAGCCGCCACAATTGTAAACTCCGCTTTAGCATATGTCTCAGCCATGGCTTGAAGGTGCTGCTGTTTAGTCGCGTAATCGTCTTGTACAATACAAACGCGATCAACCCAGAGGTACCTCTGACACGTGAGGGCGCACAGTTTCATCGCATCACGAATTGTCCGAGGCACGTCTTGCGAGCCTGACGCGGAGAGGCTGCCTGGCCTTTTCAATTCCTCAATGTTACTCAACAGAGCCTGCAGAGTCTCGACCTTTCCCCATACATAGCTAAGTGCGACAAACGGTACGACTTCTGCAGGGGTGACAATGCACTCGAGATTCACGTCGATAAAGTTGCGGCGGATTTCGGATGTGACAAGCCAAGATGCAGGCCTCAGGCATCTATCCCCGTGATTGCATTGACAATGTTGCAGCCATTGGCGGATTATAGAGGGGTCACATCGCCGGGGATCAAATAAACGAGGTGTCCCAGTAAGCCACGAGGTCGATCCTTCTAGGATATCCTGGTCGGCTGAGAAAAGCCAAATCGTTCCGAACCGATTCATAAGCTGACGAGTTTTACCCGGATGTGTCGGTTCGGACGGTGGCGGGCCGAAGGAAATCCCTAACACCGGATTACTGTCTATAAAATGGGCGCTGAAGCCAAAATCCCCGTCGAATGCCTGTGTCAAGATTTCCGATTGAACAGCACACTCTTCCTCGACGCAAGAGACGAACGCACGGCACGATTGACATCGAGAACTTCTTGCGATAAGCTCTGATTTCTTGCCCAGATATATATCTGGAATTGCCCCTGGCGCTCCCGTTTCATAGGAGCAGAGCGTAGTGTCAATCTCAACACACAACGCACAAAAACCACTTCGCTCTATCCGAATAGGCAGGATTGAGTCTCCCGTTTCCATTTTCGAAACTGCTAGATAGGCAATTCTAGGAGCCAATCGATGTTTTTTCCGTAAAAAGGCAGGAAGTCGCAAATTATTCGAAGACGGGCGCCGAGCCAACGCGAAAAGTGAAGGATCTTTTCGTGTGGGAAGCACAACAAGCTAAGACCTGCTGTCCTACTTGATGGCCGATCTTATCAATCTGGCCTATATACCATCCGCCCAGACAGAAATGGTCACATTGATTCAGCCGCTTCTTAGCGGCGAGTCTCACTTCGACCTGTCAGACGTTACGCAGCAGCCAAGAGTCACTAGCTGCACGTCATATGAGGGGATCTAGAACAAGCTGAGGTATAACAGACGACTTGTGCTTAGGTGCTACTTACTCTAAAAGATAGGCATATATCACTAATATCGCAGAGCCGTAAGCGATCCTTGGCGATGACAGAAATAAAGTCATCGAACATCTCTCTTCCACTCACCACATAACGAGAACGCAGATTAAGAGACGAAGACTTGGCAACCGAATGAGTACTATATAATCATCAATCGGAGATCTCCGACTTGGCAAGGCACAGGCAGAGTTGGGAATAGTTGCAAAAAGGAAAAACATATCGGATCAAAGGAGTCAGAGGAGAAAAAGATGTCCTCGGTGAGGCTCGAACTCACGACCTTTGGATATCCCAGCCTGGGACTGGATCATACAGAGTATGAGACCAACGCTCTAAACCATCTGAGCCACGAAGACAAGAAAGTAGTCTGAAGATTCGGAGAGAATCAACAGAGGTTGGGCTTGGCCGGGGATTGAACCCGGGACCTCTCGCAGAGTTGCTTTCGGGTGTTACCCTAAGCGAGAATCATACCACTAGACCACCAAGCCAATCAGATGTGAGGCCGCCGTGGAATGTCACACCATGAGTCTCGTTGGAGCTGGTCGAGAGGTCGAGTATAGCGAATAGGGGATAGGAAGTTGTCGGATAGAGTGTGTGTTCTATGAGTAAGTCAGTATTCCTATCCAGAACGTCTAACCATTCTATCCCTCAGAGTACCTCGACTTTCCATGAGCTTCTAGTTCGGCCTCATCGGAAGGCCTTGCTTACCTAGACCAACCGCGGGCCCCTTCCTATCTTTTGCCGGACCAAGTGACCATCTCCGCCTCAACGCCTTCAACGCGCGCACGGAGCACGCCTATGGTGATCTACGCTCGTATACGAGAGATATATAGTGCTTGCAGGATGGCGTATTTCAGGGAAAAGTCCTACGGTCAACGGAGCAAGCTTGTATGGAGCCACGGATGCCACGGATGTCAACAAGGCCGGGGCGGATGTGGAATAATTCTGCCTGACCGGGGCATCATCAAGACGTCAGCAACATCAGCGTCATCCATCTCTGAGCAGTCATGTATGACAAGACAAGAGCGGGCATGGGGTAGAGGAAGAAGGCGTGATGTTCTTCCGCGCGATGGGGGATGATGCTCTCTACCTGATGTGTACTTTGGCCCCGACGCGAGATTCTACCCAACAGGAACGCGCCGCGAAACTCAGCTAGTCCCTGCAAGCCGTCAGTATGTCTCAGTTCGCGGTGGCTAGATCCTAATGGTGGTCTCGAAAGGGCGTCAACGGCCCTAAATGCTACATGTTGTCACTACATGACAATGCTACCTCGGCCGTTTAAGCCATCTCGTGCGAAACAGCCATTTGACGCCTCTCCGGCTCATGGCTATGTAGTCCGTCCTTTCCGGTATCAGCGATTGGCTAATCCTCTAAGTATTGGGCGCCACACCGACGATCATTGTGAATTAGAGCGAGGTTGAGTCTGGTAAAGTGATGCTATGGTCTTGTTTCACGTACCACGAGGAAGGCGGTGGGATTTCGGCACTGGTCTCTTTCATTGTTCATCCTGTATCGTGGTTAGAAGACGCTACTAGCTCTGTGGAGGCCGATGAAATGTTGCCACTCGGCTCCGATGGCTATTGTTTTGTACTACCTCTTGTACAGAAGCGAGTCTCGTCTAGACACAGGCGCAACTGACACGTGCCAGCCTTGCGACCCTTTCAACGAACAAGTCAAGACCGCTTCAACATTCATCCAGATTAAGAGCTGACTAGCAAATAGGATTTGTAAGACTAGCATAGGTGCTAGAAGTGCTCTTAGTAAAAGAAAGAAAATCGTCTTGATATCTCCCTTACGATCCTTAGAATCGGGTCAGCGACAGAGATTGGACCTACTCCAACTAGGTACGCTGAGGGCAGGATCCGATCATAGGTTCGTCGATCTGACATAGGAAAGGTTTATTGGTTGGAGTACTCCGTAGACAAACAGGTACCTCAAAATAGTACGGCCAGCTTCAACGAAGCAAGGATCTCGGTGAGAATGGAGAGAAAGTGATCAACCCCTTCACAGGATAGACGAAAGAAGCTACTACTCGACCGCTGGTGCCTCCGCTCATCTTCTGTTATTGGGTGCGAAGTCTACGGATACTAAAAAGAATAGGTACCTCTGGCCGAGGTGTAACATGTACCTAGCCCCTGTACCGATACTTGGAGACGTGCTTTTGCCAAGTAGAAGATCAGCTAGGTCTGGCGGGTCCAGCGGTGTGTCCAAGGATATGTACAGTTCTTCCAACCAGTGGTATTGCGAGCAAGTCGGCGAAGTCGTCAGCAGGTCTACAGGTGTGTATTGAGGAATATGATATGGCTCGTGTTGAAATGACAGAGCAAGGGAGTTCAAGGCAAATCATTAGCGGTTACAATGTGATGTGTACCTACTTGTGTCTCGAATTTTCTACAATACTTTAGTACGGTACATTCGTCATTTCGTCTTCGTTGGTCTTACATGTAGGGCTCCACATGCACTGCGACTCTAGATAGGGTTGTCACTAACTAGGCTTAAAGCTAATGAACTACCGCTAACTTGGATAGAATAGGTAGTGATTCTAGAGAGGTACCTACAGTAGAGGGCGTTAATAGAGGAGTCGAAGTCCCTTGAGCAACTAGGTATGCTAGCGTGGGGGTAACACTGCCGAAACTGGGTACAGAAAAAAATATCATCGTCAAGGAAAATTAATATTTCAGTTAGGCTGCCGTGGATAGAATCCGAGGATTCAATGATTATCAACCAGGAAAGTCATGATGCATTATCCCTTGCATTTGCTGTAGCGTAAATTAGGGTAAGTAATATGAGTGTAGCACGGCTCCTTTGACCTTTGATGCGTATCCATAGCATAGATGCCTGTAGTATATAGGTAACAATGGGGTGGTATGCATTGATCGTGCATGACATGGATAACCCCAAGCGTACAGTTCAGAGAACACTCGAATTGGTAGTCTAGGGTATCCCAACCACTACTACAATGCATGCTTGCTACTACTTTGGTTGACCTTCATATGCTAGTACACCTATCCTCGAGCTCTGCCGACGCGCTGAAGCGGCGTAAGAGTTTCAGCGAGCTCTGACACCTCAAACCCCCGTACTAAAAATAGAGACTACAGATCAACTGACCATCCGTAGGCTTGGCTACTATACCTAAGTCGGAAAGTTATGGGGCAACCACCTATATTTCAATACATCGGTCGTATAGTCGTCACAGCCTTAACAACTTTCAATATAAAAAAAATTATATAATTGCGATAATTTGCTTAGCTAATTGTTTAGTTTATAGCTTAAGCAGCTAAGTATTTTACGGTTGCAATTAAATATTTTTTAGCCGTAGTTAGGTATTTTATGGTTGTAGTTAGGTACTTGGTCGTACGCAGCACAACTGAGTACTCAGTGAGTACTTCTCGGTATTTCGCTATGAGTACTCATTGTGGTTTTTTGGTTTGTTAGCTAAATGTCGATGAGTACTCACTTGAACGGTACTTCGACCTTGACCCCACAATTTACCAAGTTGGTCGGTACGTACCTAGTGGCCAAGACCACGGATGGTCAGTTGATCTGTAGTCTCCTAAAAATACGGGTATGTCAGCTGGTTATTACGGTTGTTGTTACTTATGATCTACGTTATAATACCGTTAACCTGGTATGTACAGACGCATAGTATGGCCGCTATTACTAGGTAATTAATTAGCCTCAGCCGCTTTGCGGATTTTTGTTTGGTTTGGACTACTTGCCGCTTGATAGGATGCAATTTCTTTTAACCATTCGAGTCTCGATGGTTAACAACATGGATTAGCATTTCGGATTCCGTAGTGAAGCCAGATCGACGGTACCCAAAGTTTAATCACCAGCATATCAAAAATATTATCTAGACAATTTGGGATGATACCGAGATTCGGGAAATGGTGATGGAAGCTTGGTTACTCCTGGTCACGCCGTACTACCGAGGTGGCGTTGTTTTTACACATCTAAATAGTGCGTATATGAATGCAGGTTGGGTATGATGAGGAGGTGGGGACTCAAGTCCCTTAATCAGGATCCTCTAACTATGAGACCTCCAGGTTTTCTCTTTTAGGGTTGATGTTGACATGCAAGAGGTTGAATTCGCTTGAACCATCTGGTAGTTGCAGCTCTCCTGCACCTAGGTATTACATGCCTTATGCATACGCACCACTCACTGTAGCCTTTGGCGGCGCAACATTACCAGGGCCAAGACAAACCTCCAAACCATGCCAAAATACACTAAAACCAAAACAGTCAGCCCACTGAACCTAACCCGCTGACAGCTAGCGAACTCCCAACAACCTGGTGAGAGGCCGCGGCCCGTTATGGAGACATAGCCTTGTATTCTAATTTATGGATAACTTCCTTAATATTAACTTCATCTTAAACGCCGAGGGACAAGGTTCATTAATACAACGGACACTATACGGGACATACGAGTTCATCTACCTAGTATACCAGGATATCTAAGCCGAGGCCTAGATCTGCTCCCTTCGATGGTGACCTTGCCTGCCTGCTCGGCTAGAGACAAATCCGGCATTCCGTGCTACATTATGTATATCTCAAAGAGTCACTGGCCTCAAAAGCAGCGCCCAGGGCAAAAGCGGGCTGATGGCGTCGTCGCCCACTAACGGCTTGGGCCCACAACTGCAAAAGAAGCATTCGGGAAAATCGCATGTTCCCCTGACGTGCTCCCATAAGCACAGCCCACTAGCACTGTTCAAGAAACAAACATGTAGGTGAGATCAACTAAGAACGCGGGCGCCAGATGGATATAAGCTGACTTCCGATGGATTGACCAAGATTGGCGTAGATCTAGATAGATAGCATTTCCCGCCCTACGCCTTTGCGTTAGTGTATGTAGAGATGCGGAGGTCACATTGTCGAGAACTCTCACGGATCTACGTAAGCCATACTAACAGCACCCAAGGTACAGTGGATAGCGTTGAAAGGGGAGGACATTCTGTGGGCTAGAGTAGATCAATCTAGGTGGCTGAGTGACACTTAACGTCCGAGGTCGTGTAACTAGTAAACAAAACACCCAACTAGATATGCGCTCGATTCCTGCTTCTTGCCTTGATGAGTGAATGCATGCTTAATGCCCCCGGCCCCGAGAAATAGGCAAGGAGGCAAGGAGGCAAGGAGGCAAGAGGTGCCGGGCTGGGATCAGTCATCGCACGCACAGCCTATCCTAGGTACCTATTTTGTCGTGGTAAACTCCGACTCTGTCACGGCCTTGGGAGAAAACATGCGTGTAGGTGTGAAGTGGTTCACTTCTACATATTAGTGACATTCTTCGTTCTCCACTAGCCTGTGCACTTATTTACGAGTGATATCTCATATTTCGAGACGACATTCAGGTTGCAGG